AGCTTCACTGGTTGTTAGTGCTGCTGTACCATTTATTGATAACTGTAATCAGAAGGAATCGAATGCCAGTAAACCAGACAATTACGAGCGATTATATGATACGTCCCTTTTTGAAATCGATCCACCTTTGTCCAGTGGGTACTAGGGAGCTTCACTAAATAGGCCAAAACACACCAGCATGATTCCACGAAAGTTCAATAATATATGGTTAACTTTCGAAATAACTACCTCCTTTAATGCAATACATTACTCAGATATCAGTATCAAGCCAGATCTTCTGATACAAGGGCAGAGAATTTAACGCAGTTCAAGAGAATAATGTCAACGATGATATGTACTTTAGAAAACAGTTTTATTGCAAAGTTTCATTTAAAAACCATTTTAGAAATGATCTGTCATTAAACCACCATAGTGACGGATTACAGCGCTATAATTAGCGAGGGTGTGCATTAGAGCCACTCGACAACTACATACAGAGAACAGAAGTCAGAAATTTGTATTCAACAGAACTATTTGTACTGTGTATACACAATGAATAGAAACAAATAACACTCACTACATTTACGGCGAATTCCAGTAAGTTCGCTCTATATTGAGGTTTGCGCTGACAGTGTTTCCAAGAAAGACGATGAAAACTTGGTTATTGAACCATCCAGTTCACAGGACGCGAACACATCACAACGAACGTGTTCACATTACAGTAATAGTCAGTCACCACAAAGGGCTGAGTGGTCAGTGATCGTAAGAAACTGTATTACTCTCACAGGTGTAACTAAATTAATATCAGAAGAAAGAGTTTTCAGGTGTTAGCTTGCGAGGATTTAATTATTTTCAGTCCCGCCCACGGATCGATATCAGTTCGAGAACCACTGAAAACCAGGGAGAACTGCACAGCTGTTTCGTTCTAGCCAGGGAATTTTTATAAGCACTCACTCCAATAAGGAAAGAATACAGGACTTTCGGGTTACGAGGCGAGTTCGCTGACCACTTACTCAGGGGTATGTAGTCAAATGGCAATTGTATGATTTCTTACTTATGTCTGTTTGTGATTTTAGGCATGACCGGTAACCAGTGTCATCAACGAGTATTTGTCCTTACACCTGACTTGATAAAGCCCCACTAATCCTTTGGAGGAACAAACAATTGACCTATTTGTTCAGTATAAGTCGAAAATTAAGCGATAGGAACAAACTAAACGGAGTTCAATGTGACCTTAATATAAACGACAATAAACAAATCAGTACTTCATAGCCTAAAATCCAAAGAAATATGGACAGGTATGAGGATCGAAAGTCAAACAAACCAGACTGAATCAGCCAGTAATGTATAATGCTAGCCAATAGCCTCGTTTTCATTCAGCCTAATGGTTTGCATAAGTGTTGACGAAGAATGTATTCAGTTTGCTACCCTACGAAGATAATCGATGATAACACTTTGTTGTAATAATAATATATCTTTCTGGAAGTTGTTTGAAAGTGGTGACACTTAAGAAATTGAATTTTTTCTGCGTAGGATACGTCTCTTCCTGCTGCGGAATGTGTTTTTGTGAATCGAACAGACAGTTGCTGAATACAACGGAATTTGGGAAACCTTCACCTCGCATTAACTCCTGTTGGAATTTGGTTTATTTGTTTGCACAATGCAGGTATATTGAAAAAGTCACCTAAAGGTGACAGTGCATATTTCTAAAGGCATAGGAAGTACGTGAGACCGCATGACCGATAGTGCTGTGGCGTGCCGTTTTAGGGCACCCTATTATCGATTGTCAAAGACACTCGGATTATTCAGTAGTTCAAATAACCTGGCTTACTACGTGTTCCAATGTTTATATCAATAGAATGGTGAGAACCGGAAAGGGTTAGTGGTGCATGTTGCACTACTCTGACGATTAAAATTAGTTGATCATGGTTGCAAAACTTTTATTATCTCACATGTTCCCCTATATGCCCGTTTGTTTTACAGCAATTATAGTTTTTCGTACGAATATCACCCACCATTCTGTTTTCCTCTCGTTTTGTGAAATATTTTCTGAAGTTTCGCTTCACTTGACTGGTGGTGGTACTCTAATGTAAGCAACCTTCGCACGGCCTCTTAGTAGAGTGCTCAAGGTGCCAGCTTCACCTTTTAATTTCGCATTCCAACCAGGTCCGCGGGGGTTTCCAATTCAATGAGAAATGTCCTCACATCCCCCTCTTCAAAGACTTGCGGTCATTGCACCTTCACCTCCAGCAGAAGCAGCGACACCAATTGTAAGGAAGAAAAGATCAATGAAGCTTGAAGGAATGTTCATTGGGACAAACTCATTGTAGGTATACCATCTCTCCAATGCTTTATTGCACATCATTTGCACAGTGGTCGAATATCAGACCATTCGATAGCCTGTTGGATTCTGCACAGTGTTTCTAACGTTCTACTCACACTTCTCTTCTTCGATTACTTTTCCAGTGTCCGAAACATATTGTTGCTTTCCTGAACTCGTTTACTGGTATACTCCTTATATGTGGTTATAAGTAGCACTCACTATGGGACCTTGATACGATTATGAGCAGTAATTTGTGCTCGAAACGTCATCAGTAAATATTACTGTATAACACTGTGAGACTTTACGAAAATAAATTTTATCAACGATGGAATGAATAATAATTAGATGATGGAAACGGAGATGTTTAGCAATGTCTAAAAGAGAACAACAATCAGTCCTTTGCTTTTTACTGTTCAATTTGTGCCATCTCTCTCAGAAATGTTGAGAAACATGGTAAGTCAGATATGAAAATGCAAATAAAGGCATGCTTCCATTCCATTCGAGGAGGTTTCTAAGACTTCCAATCGCAGAAGCATCAACTTAAAGAAATGAAATTTCTGCATTTTAGCAGGTTTTCATTAATACAAGGAGGTTCACGTCGATGTCCCTCACTTTGTTTCCTCTAAATATAGAAAGTTGCGGTGGGGGCAAAACCATCACACTTCATGTAAATCACACTCAGTTTGGATAAGAGTTGAGGTGGCACTTCATCCTGGTCTTCTCGGGTCAAAGGGTGAGAATCTTACCATATATACCTTGGTCACAAAAACTCACAAACGTTCAAGCAGACAGATATAAAATGTTATCTGGGCAAAGTATTTCTCAGGTTAGCCCACAGCACACAAACTTCGTAATGCTTTCTTCGCCTAAGTAAAACATTTTTCCAATCAAAGCGTTACATTAGGTTTGTTTCGCTCTGAATGGCATCCCCAGATCATGAGCTGACATCGGTAAGAGAACCATTGGAAAACACTGGAGTACTGGAAAACTGTTCCCTCCCAGTTTTGAACTCTTTAGCAGAACGCACCCACCGAAGTTTGAACACAGGGCCTTCTAGTCGCTAGGCGAGCTCATAGAGCATTGAGCCAGTGGGACCCGATGCAATGGCCGATGAATTCTTACTCCTGCCAGTTCACGAAATAGCGCGACAGCTAGCCAGTGTTTTCGGTGAGTATTTTTCCTCACACCCAACTTGATGTGCTCTACTGGTCCCACTGGAACCCCAGGTAACTACCTACCTGAATAGGCCCGATGTCATCTAATGATGAAATCCTGTAACCAATCAGTCAAATCCGCACAAACCAATGCTTGAAAATCCTCAGATCACACAGTAGTATGTCACCTCACATATCATCTTAAGCGACTACTAGTAACTTACCACTCCGCACAGTATAGATTGTGTTCAACTAAAGAAAGAATAAATTTAGAAAGGAGTGATGTGACGTACACCCAAGATTTATTCATATCAGTCTTTGTCTTCAGTGAATACAGAATCAACACTCCTTAAATAGTGGTGTGTAAAGGGATATCAGTTTCATAATTAGAGAGAAGTTTGGAGGGAAGTTATTGAAAAATATATAGTCAGAAGGAGCCAAGTAAAGAGCGAATGGCAACTTATCAACTGTAGAAGCAGTTGCTGGTTGAAACGGATAGTGGCAGTATGAATCCATGCACTTGTGGAATGGAAAGGGATTATTTTCATGAAAGCCGTCACAGGAGTTCGAGAGTTACCGCGCTGATAGCACACAGTAATATCGTCCGTGGAACCTCGCATTATGTAGTAATACCTGAAGTTCAGACTGTCGCAGTGGCATTATTAGCAGAATGTTTACTCGAACCCAGATTTTCGACAAATGTAGCATATATAGTGAGAGTTACTAGCGCTCACCTGCACGATGACATATTTGAAGTTTCGGATCCTCACTTTATCAGACATTTATTTTACCTCGGCGACTGACTATGAATTCATGGCGAAATGAAGTTGAAATGTGTTTACGCTGCAATTACATCGCCCGGTAATATTCTTTTTCCACTCTAAGGCAACTGACCAGTCAAATGTTTTTCATTATCACCTACTGCAAAGTATTGTACATAAATGAGTAATTTTCAGGCTACCGTAACCTATGTTAAAAGCTCTGTCTTCGGAGTAGGGGACATGTGGGAAAATTCCGTAATCCACACTTTAATTTTTGCATATCTTTTCAACGAATCTCTGCTCCTACTTCATCCTGCTATCTGTAGAGCAGAGTTGATTTCCAGTGTTACTTTAGTTTACACACACAAATAAACAATATCCTATGTAAACATTTTCTAAGAAATTCTGGTAAACATATTGCCTATCCAGTAAAGGACCTATACATGCTGCGTGAATAAACATATTTCATGGACGATTACATTACTTCTAACTCTCAATCGACTCAAGCCCTGTGATTTTTCTCACCCTTTCTATTTAATAACTTCCACAGAAATAGAATTCTGAACATCACATAGTCTTCCTTCTCAAATTATGATGTGGTTATATAAGAGCGACTAAAATTTGTCAGGAATGATTATTTTTACATACTTCTGAAATAAACGTGTATCAGTCAACGACAGAAGGATATTATCCTTATTTTCCTGCTCTTAGGCTTAAAATTGATTAAAAATGTTAATGAAGTTGATAAGTTCCTGCTGCTGATTTTGTTTTTACTAGCTAACTGTATAATTCTGATACAGCCTAATATTCGTGCATTTTTGAATTTAGTCAAAGTCTTGGAGATGTACACTTAGATGTTATCGTGGGAAAATTGCAATTCATGAGTTATTCCCTATGAAGTTCTTGCAACATAACTGCGAGTCCGTGAAGGAAATATCTTTCTGTTGTGATTAATATTTTTTCTGAGTAATTTGTGTGATTCGGAAATGACTTAAATTTTCACACGTGTGTGCTTCACTGAAAATCTATCTCTCCTAATAAGATGAAAAAAGGAGTAGATTCAAATGACGATTTCCTTAACTCATCAGAAAGAATAGCAAAAAGTTTTAGACCAAGAAGTCCGTTCATTTACAATAAATCCACCGAAAAGTTTGCCCTTGAGGTTGATCGAGAGATATTAAAAAACCAGTATGAGAAGTCCTTTATTCCTTACAACTCCCGCCATTATCTTGCAAAATTTATTCGACCTGTTTCACTGGCTACACTGAAAAGTTTATCCAACGCTAAGTTGGAAGATACTAAGACAAATATTTCGTGCAGTGTAGAAACAAAAAAGATTCAGCCGATATACGGTAGTCTTCCAAATCATTTCAGTGACAGCCAAAAGTCCACAGATTCTACAGAGAGTGACTGGAACAGACTTTCTAGGATTAAATCTTGTCGTGATAAATGGGATCGACCTAGTAAACATACCTGTTGCAACTTTCCATTTGAATTAGTTAACAATGAACAAACCTTCCTATATAGCACAAAGTCATTAAAATCTGGAACGATATACCGAGAGAATCACTTGCGTAGTGATCTTCTTACTCAACCTGAAAATGTCTCTCATGTTGGAAATGTGACTAATTTTCGGTCATCATTAAATCCGCCTTCATGCAACTTTAAAAAACCATGTGTTACTTCAAGCTTGAAAATTATCGCCAACCCGCCTCCTTTCACAGTAAAGAGGATAGCTACAAAACCAAGAACTACAGATTTGCTCACAGACTTTAGTGCTGAGTTGTTTACTGTAGACCGTACGAGGTGTTCACGAAGAGATCAAATGGAACAAAAATTAGAAAGCATTGAGAGTCGTGCTAATCTGTGTGTGTCGATTTCTCACAATAAGAATTCAGATTCATCGGAGAACTTTCAAATGTATCAGTCATATCCAGCGCCGAATCTAATGTACAAAAAAATTAAACAGGATTTCGAAGTATTTAAAAAGGAGTTTAACAGACAACTCAAAGTAAATGAAACATTCGACTACACCAAGGAGAGATCACTTTATTTCGAAAATAAGGAGGGTGGTGGTGTTTTGGAAACTGTGAATGATGGCTATCTTCACTATGCATCACCCTTTAGCCAACCATTTTGTCAATCTGCAGTCATATTAAGTATTCAAGATTTACTTTCTCATAAAGGATATCAAAGTGAAGCTAATAATATCAGGAAATTTCATGATAACAGCACTGTAAACACAAATGTAGATAAAGAACATCCTTATTCCTCTATACAAAGGCAGGTATCTTTCACTTTTCTGTCATTTGCATCCAAGAAAGTTTATGGTTAATCCTTATAGGAATTTTGAACTACTGGATTATAGATTGTTATAGTAAAAAGTATTTCCATTCACTGACAGTCTACCTGAAGGCTAATAATATTGCGGTGTTTAGTCACCTCATTTTATCTTTTGTAGCCGAAATTATCAGCTCAATACTCAAAAGGTTCTTCAACCCATATGGCTGACGTAAACAGCAACATATCATGTTACCTCATTTGATCCTGACATCATAATAATGGTATTAACATTCCGGACAGTATAGCATGTAGTACACTGTTTCATCAAACCTTCTCATTGCAGGGATAATAATTAGAACACGGCATTTACATTGATAATATTGTTCAACACGAAAATGAATGTAAAATTGTATCGATTAAAAACATTAACAACAATGTAGCAATAAAAAAGGATAGGATGGGTGACCGCAGTAGGCTTATTATCTCTTCTTTAATTCTCTTCATTAGGTTTTAAGATGCTATCCTGTGTTTTTAGTAACACCTAACCTCCCGATGAAGTAGCTCTGTCTGAAAACTGTGATCCATTTAGTTAGATTTGTGAAGCATAGCACTAAATACACTGTCGGTGTTTGGTTACCGTTATCTTATCTAACACTGATATTTGGGTTCGTTACTTTAGCTCATCTTCATGCCACACAGTAGAGAAAATTACCGATTTGTGAGGGCAGCTAATTGAAATCCTCCATTTGGGATGTAAAGTTGGGATTTTAGTTGGGATCCCTTTGTCTTTCATCAATGTTATTTCTATTTATTAACTTTTTTCATATTAAAATAAATCCTTAAGTTCCTAATGAATAAGCACAACATAAGACCATGTTCTAATATGTCTCATATTTTAGTCGGTATATTTATTGTCTAAAACTCTTGTGCCAACGGTCCAAAGGCTGTGTGAACTAATGAAAGCCTCATTTTGAATAAGTCCAGGTAGGCTTAAAATTTCAATGTCCTCAGTTTGGATAATCTTTGTGACACTTTTTAATTAAGTTTTTGGAGTTCTGAAAATTGACACCACCAACCACATTAACGTTTCTTATAAACGCGTGAAATGCCCATACGATTAAACGTCTTAATCAAGTAAAGGACTTACGAAATTCAAGTTCTTAGGATACGTTCATTGACTGCTTTATTTAAAACCATATTTCTTATCATTTTTATTTTGTATCTTGTTAAACATATAGGGAAAACACTTCTACGCCTTTACAGAAGCACAATGAAATTCATACTCAATGTGGTATCATGGAGGTGGTAAGCAGAAAGTGAATGGTTTTATTTGATAAGGAGGAAAATGAGGATTACCTTTTTGAACATAAGTCATTCTTTGTCACTTGTCTCAATTTTTATAATTTATGCACATATAGTAACTATAAGAAGTATCATTCTGGATTCATTGGGTGAATTAGATATAGTATAGGTAGCTACAGCAGGTTAGTTCGATTGATATCTTTAGCTTCCGTTTTATGTAATTAAGAATGGATTCACAGCACTCAAGAAGGCAACTAGTGTCACCTTTAAATGCAGATTTAGGTTTCACTTGTTTCAGTGACATCTTGGCAAATCAATCATATTTGTCACACAATTTCAACAATGAAACTGAAATCATACCGCATCCCCCACAGAATCTTACAACTCAGTATTAAACGTTGATAGAATTATAGTTGGACTGAAATGTTCTTTTTTCTAAGATTTATGGAGTGATTATTTCCAGTTTTCCGCCAAACTAACTTCCGAACTGGCTAATAATCTTCGAAACGAAAGTTTTATAACTGCAGTTAAGTCTGTTTCATATCCTCCTCACAGAATGATGCTAAGAAATCAGCAGTGAGACATCCGGCAAAATCACGTTCAACACAAGAGTACGGAGTTGTCTTAGCACTTGAAAAGAAGAGAAATTCTCCTCGTAGTGTAACAACAATAAGTTGTTTAAATTTATTAAAAAAGTGTTGTCGGTGAAAAGAGATTGTCAGTCTGATGATTTACGAAGAAAGATGCATTTTCAACACATAATAAAAATGCCTTATTGAACATTCGTCCACTTGCACCAATCTCCATGCTAGAGAATAATCCTATTGCCTAATCATGTTTATGAACTATCAAATGCTTTCCGTTTACTGTTTGTCACACGTAGTTTGCACAAGTTTTCATTCGGAGTAATGTTGTTTTCATATTAGATACAGTCATATTTTGTTTGGACACTAGTAACTAGTGTGACGTGTCTAGTCCTTTCTTTAGTGCAGACTGAATTCCATCAGTCAGGTTTGCAATGTGGCCGCCATTCTAGGTAGCTTGTCATCATGGTGCATATGAGTCCCTTCAAGGTTGCAGATACGCCTTGCTGACGAGTGCCAACTAGCAAGAAACCTAGGTCGAAGGCTTCCTGCTGATTGCCTCCGATTTTCTAATATCGCACAGTCATATATCTTGATTATACAACTTTGATAGCACCACGAGAAGTTATTTAAAAATTCCACAAGAAACATTTTTGATTGATTTCACTAAACTCTCTAGTGGTTAAACCACAACAAGGACTGCTACTCCATTTTAGAAGTACCTGTACATAATTCTGAGTTATTTTAGTTCACTGTGATAAATGAATTCAGAGTTGACTGTCTTTCTTTTTCATTCGTATTCGTATGTTTCTTCAAAAAGGCATATAAATAAAAATACAGCTGACTGAATACAACAGAGACACTGGTTTTATACATCATACTAAATGTTGCCTCGTCTACTAGTCCACTCATCTACTATCTGATCCTAAACCTTGAGGAAGTGGGAAGGCTGGGCGTATGACTAACGGCCCTACCCTGGAGAATCAATCCAACCTCTAAAAGAACTTCAAAGCACAAAAAAGCACGTACTAACTGAAATTAATTACTTGATAACAGCATTATGCTTGTAAATAGGCAGACACAACCGTGTGTACGAAAACCTGCAAAATTCAAACACATCTACAATCTTAAATTCACCAGTATGTCTCAATATAAAATGTATAAGTAATTACACCGGGATCTCGTGGTTTATCAAATTAGACTATCTACACCTAATGTCAGTAAAAGTTTCGGCATTGTAGCATAGGTCAAATTAATTATAATTACCTCTCAATAGTTTACACATAACGATAAGTTCTTTTTGTTTTGGTAATATTTCGAGCACAATTACTGCCCATGACCACACCAACTATTGAAACTGTTTTTTAATTCACACATTTATGGTTTGTAACCATACACACATATTTCATTTTTGTGTATTCAGAGTTATAGTCCATCTGTATTTGTGTAAAACTTGGGCACTGTGGTAGTAAGTAATTCCATATTAGTTTGTTTATTTGATATATCACACAGTGGAACAGTATTATTTACTGGATGACGTTTCGAACAAAATTTATTGTTCATGACCATATCAATTATAATCACATGACTTCGAAACTTGGTAAAATGTTTAAGTAATAGAGCACAAAAACTAAGTAGTACTAAGGAAAATCTAAGACAGGAAGTGAGGCAGATAAGAGAAGATTTAATATTTAATAATTACCCTGATAAACTAGTGATAAAGTATGTAGGGAAATGTAAAAATAAAATAAATAATGATCCTAGTGACAGTGATGGTGATAATAATAATGATAATATTAATGACGACATGCATGTCAAACATGCGCAAGATAATGACAACACCAACAATAAGGAATCTAAATCATCAGTAGTAAATACACACAAAGAAGGAACCTCGGAAACCACCTTACGCAGAATTCTTAACCAGGTAGGAATAAAAGTGGCATTCAAACCCACAAACTCAATTAGAAACAAGCTTTGTCGGTTAAAGGATCCTGTGGAGCCTTTAAAACAAAACAATAAAGTTTATCTAATGCCCTGCCGGAATGATTGTCAGGTCAAATACATAGGTCAAAGTAGTAGAACAGGTACAGTCAGACTAGTGGAGCACAAAAACCTAACAAAATCTAGATTAGTTGACGCGAATAAGATAAGAAATCTAGAGAATAGTTCAGCTATAGCACTACATGCAATTACACACAACCATACAATAGGATGGGATAAGATGACAGTTTTAAAATCTAATGTAACAGGGTTGAGGGAGAGATTGATGACAGAAGCTTTGTTTATTGAATCAACTGCAAATACGTGTAATAGGAATGATTCAACACCTATCCCAGATATCTGTAAAATCCTCCTACCCCTACGACAAATAAGAGAGGAGAAAAAAATCTAAAATTGAAGTTTCGAAGTCGTGTGATTATATATATATATATATATATATATATTCGCGTCAACTAATCTAGATTTTGTTAGGTTTTTGTGCTCCACTAGTCTGACTGCACCTGTTCTACTACTTTGACCTATGTATTTGACCTGACAATCATTCCGGCAGGGCATTAGATAAACTTTATTGTTTTGTTTTAAAGGCTCCACAGGATCCTTTAACCGACAAAGCTTGTTTCTAATTGAGTTTGTGGGTTTGAATGCCACTTTTATTCCTACCTGGTTAAGAATTCTGCGTAAGGTGGTTTCCGAGGTTCCTTCTTTGTGTGTATTTACTACTGATGATTTAGATTCCTTATTGTTGGTGTTGTCATTATCTTGCGCATGTTTGACATGCATGTCGTCATTAATATTATCATTATTATTATCACCATCACTGTCACTAGGATCATTATTTATTTTATTTTTACATTTCCCTACATACTTTATCACTAGTTTATCAGGGTAATTATTAAATATTAAATCTTCTCTTATCTGCCTCACTTCCTGTCTTAGATTTTCCTTAGTACTACTTAGTTTTTGTGCTCTATTACTTAAACATTTTACCAAGTTTCGAAGTCATGTGATTATAATTGATATGGTCATGAACAATAAATTTTGTTCGAAACGTCATCCAGTAAATAATACTGTTCCACTGTGTGATACATCCAATAAACAAACTAATTTGATCTATTCCATCTGGTTGACAATTGTGCTGAATCTCCCTTGTTACATACATTTGGCGTAACAATCCCAACATCTGGTGTGATCACTGGCAGTAATTGTGCTCGAAATATTACCAAGACAAAAAGAACTTATCGTTATGTGTAAACTATTGAAATATGACTATAATAAGCTGCGCTAACAAACCCACACTTTCTAGTATACTTGTATTATAACGGTTTCCAATGCTTATTTAAACTTATATTTCAGATGATGAAATGTATTTGCACTTTTTTATTTGTGTTCTTAATAATTTTTAGTGACAGGGTTTTTGAGTGTCTTTGTTTTATTACTGTTGTCTCTTCCTTCTATAGACTAATAAAGCAGATTGTCAACAACATTCACCTCCCTGTTCTAAAAGTCACCCAAAGATTTTTGCACCACCGAAACAAGTTGAAATTGACAGTGGAAATGGAACAGATGAAGATGATCATATTGCCAACGAAAGTACATTACTGGATGATAGTAATAATACACAAAAGCAGAAAATGAATAAAGGCATGAATTATTCGCAAAACAGTGAAACAATTGAATTAGAGGAATGCTTTTTATCTGATAATGCTGAAGATGATGATGAACAGGAAGAGAGTACAGAAGACAGTGATGAAACTACAGATGATGAACGTCAGTCAAACGAAGAGGCTTCTGTTTCTCCAGCGAATAGTTACAGTGAATCATTGGATAATCCGGGTAGTGATAATCACGATTCAGCGAATTCACCATGTATAAGCGAAACACCAAGAACATCTGATGAAAAAATCATTAAAGATAAGGTAGATCATCACAAAGACATTGAAACTAAGGTGGCAAAACTGCCTATCGGCAGAGATCCAAATACAGATTTATGTGTACCGCTGAAAACACCCAGTCTCAGACTAAGTACTTTTGCTGCTATTGCAGAAAAACACTCGAAACTATCTGTCACTTCATTCCATCCTAATACAACTAAAAAAGGTAGGTTCTTTTTCACAAAGTTTTTTTTACATGCATTCTTATCCCCCCACGTTACTGTCATAACTAAATCTGTCCTATAATAGTAGAACCATTTCGCATTTGCGTCTGACTGGATTTGCTTTGACCTAAGAGTGAAATTTCGGTACTGTGACTTGTGTGTTTGTTGCAGCACTGCATTATTTGAAATTAGGCAGGTTTGCGAAATTAAAGCTGAAAATACCAAAGAAAACAATTAAACCCTCAAGTCCAGATAGCACAAAAGCAGTAAAAAAATTTTTATATCCTGGTTTAAGTTCTGAACACAGTTTACTGCTTATAATCAAACAAGAGTATCCACACAACTTTTATAATAATTTTTCTATAGTAAGACGATTCTTCAGAACTGGTTTATACTGAGTCCAAGTTAAAAGATAAGGAGTGAAGTGGTAGATCCTTTTGACCACTTTACTTATTTTGAAAGTTGCGTCAGCCCTAATAGACTGAGTTCTGGCGCAATGTCAGCATGGACACAAAAGACTCATGTAATCCACAGTAGAGTTTCCTGTCATTCCTTATGTCTGTCAGACACGGCTATTGAAACTGGAAGACGTGAAGAGGCTAGCTGTCGTTGATCACAGATGTCTTCATTCTATCTCCCATGCTAAGTGGTATGGTGAGTAAAATTGACGTTAGGCCTTTAGTGTAAAGTAAGGAAAAGATGAAAAGCGATGAGTTTTTGAAGCTACGGAGATGTTCCACAGTCATATTAAGCATACCAAGCCACCACCTTCCTCGACGATCAATGTTAGCTGACATAAGAGTGAGCTGAAAAAGAGCCAAGTCAAAACCTGACATCAGTCCATGAAGTTTTGACATTTATTTTTGGCACTGTAGGGAAGCGTGGGCCGTCGAGTTTGAGTCCGTGGGATGGCTGCATTTTTGTGCAATGTTCTATTCTCAAACTCAGTTTGTCAGTTCCTAAAGTTCTTCAGTACTATATCCCCCTATTTTTAATAGTAGTAGAACTTGTCAAATGCCTGCCACTTTACACTTAGTCAGAGTTGATTCAATGAGCAAAACCTCAGTAGTTGACTTTTCTTCTCCGTACTAAAAATCTTAGGTGATTAGCATCTTTTACTCTAGGTGTTTAGAGGCAATTAGGTAGAAAGCCCCAGACATAAGTACCACACTAATTAGCACTCTTCAGAAAGAAATATCTGCAACCTTGAAGGAACTGATATCCCTTATGAGATTCAAAATCCCGCTACCCAGGGCTATGGACAGAGACGTTACCACTAAGCTAATAGGATTCAGGATCGATCTCTTGTAGGACTGTAATAAATATAGTGATTGGTTTCTAATGGGTTCCCAATGTCATGCATCTAGTTCTTGACGTTGGTGTTGAATGAACAGTATCAGTCAAGTTAGCCATATGATCATCAAGCTAGGTGATTAGAACTCTGAAAGGATGTCAAATGGTTGAAGGAAACTGATAGGAAACCCTGAGCGATTTTGTACACTTTGGTGAGTTAATTAACTTTATAAAACATTAAACCAAATACTTTTTAAAGGATAATTTGTTTTATTCAACATCACTTAACTTCATCTTACAGATATTATATCAACAAATGGATGTGAATCATCTGTTAATCTGAATACAAATGATAAAAATGACCAGAGCTCAATAGTGTCACAATCACCTATTTTACCTGAAGAGCAAAATCTTTCGTCAGAAAAATCTGTGAAAACTGAGGAAATCCAGGAGATGGTAAATTCTGAAACACTTAACTTTAAACGTATACGTTTATATTTCTTCTTTTACTAGACATGTTCAATGCTGTCAAATGAATCACAAGATAAGACTGCTACATCAAAACCTGTACATCATCTAGGCGACACAATATCACACAGTATTGACTATAAAGAAATAAAAACAAAATCTAAAAGTGTACTTTCAAATCGATTTGCTAAGTGTAACAATAAATCTCATCCAGCTTTAATTGATTCTCTGTTTCCATATGTGCCACCGGTATTACGATTTGTTGAAGATGGACAGAAATGTAAGTCTTAAATAACATGATGCCTGATCACAGTTACTTATATTTAACGTACTTAATTCTAATCATCTACTGTAAACCAAATGAATTCTTTTCTTTATGTGTTTTAAGTTGGTAGTTTATTCCATTTCTTTACATTTTCGTTTCATCACCACTTTTCTCTTATCTTTGCTGCGTAATTAACGTTTCACCTAAACGAATTATGTATTCTGTCTTCATTCACGTTTTACAGCAGCTGATTGGGTTGGCAAGATTAGGGTAATTTAGATATCACAAGTTCATTGGATGATCTGAATAAGGTTGACTAACTTAGCTAAACTTCTACAGGTTAGACGACGGACTGACACCATTTGGAGAATCATCCAAAACTAATAAGTACTGGACTCCTGTTTCATCTTAGTTTTGAACTCTTCAGTAGCACGTACTCATGACTCAAACTAGGGTAGATCCCCGGAAATGAAGGTCGCAAAGCGAGCTTGTTGACTATTTAGCCACTGGGACGGAATCCAGTGGTCGGACATTTTGAGTCCTAACTCCTTCCATTTTGTTATAAATGGCGTCACAGACAACAAATATCAGCAGCGAGTACTTGTCCCCTCACCGGACCTGGTGGACTCAAGTGCCCACAAATTCGAATTCGAATTCCAGGTAACTTCAACCTTTAGCCAATCACTAGTTAGAAGTAGATCAGTTTTCAGGTTCAGGTTAGCAGGGATTTGGTTAGTTTTAAATTCTGGGTTCAATTATTTGCGACATCATTGGTGAAAAGTCCCAAATGGGGGAAGAAACAGTTGGTTTTCTGTGACACTCTAACTGATACGAATCTGTGATGTAACTTAAAGCAATGCAGATCCCTTTCAAACTGACACTAGAAAATTAGCTAGACTGTTCTGTTAAGTTTCGGTCGTGTTTCTCAAATTATTTTCCCTGTTTAGAGTTTTCTTAGTTATGAGAATTATCTGTGTTTTTCAACTTTCTTGATGAGTAAAGTTCTTATGACGTTTCATAACGATGAAAATCTCACATTTTATCTCTACTCAAATGAAGAACAAACGTCAGCTTGCTTAACTGATATAGATTTTCTATGTACTATTCTATGTACAAAACTTACTGTTCAAGGCACTGTGATTCAGTGGTTGAATGCTAGCCGACGACATGGAAAATCATGGTTCAATTCTCAGTTGACCCACTCTTATACCCCTTTTAGTTTACTAGCTGATAGTAAGCCTTTGAAAGAGGGGAGGTTGGACATGAAACTAGTCGACCCCACGCAAATGAAAACAACACCGATACTGAAACTGCTCAGCTTGAAGTCTTATGTTCCACTCTCAAAGCAGAGGAATGAGATGAGATGTTATGAGCAAAATTTATTAAGTGAGAGCTAGTGGCAGAACCCAGTTGTCCATGTTCAAAAAATAATTTGCCGCTGAATTAGGACTCATGTCCCTCTGACTGAAAGTTAAATGCCAAAACAAACGACTTATAGTTCACAAATATGGTAAACGCTCGATATTTTATATTTTTTTTGATTACAGCTTGATGCCACACCGTATTTTCAGTACAAGTATGGAATTTTCAGCATGGATATCGGTAGCCTAAATTTTGTAGGCCGACCATAGATATCGGGTGTGAGTCGGCAGGAGATCGAACCCCGGACCATGTGCATGGTCGGCGAGAGTCCTAACCACTGTGCCACCGACGCACAATAAGTAGCATGACACATACCGATGATGTGGCTGTCTAGTTCTTAGTATATCGGTTGAAATCTATCCATCATTTATTCAATATGGCTACTGATCTACGTCACACTACACTGCGGTACACTGAAGTATATGTACTTTTATTTTTACGTGATAAATGTTTTCATTCAGTTGGCAAGAGGCCTTAGAATTAGATTTCATGTTCAGGGGTACTTTACAGCAAGACATCTAAAGCACTGAGAAAACTCATGGTTTTGACTAGTATCATTAATGTTAATCTAAACACCAAGATAAGGATTACAAAACCTAGGTTCAGGGTTTCTACAGCTTCCTACCGGCTGACTGCTAATATCTATCCCCAGTGTTAATGCTTTAAGAGCCACTTGAAATGTGAAATATACCAAAAGCCTTGAGTGAGTGGGGGAAACTTCCCTACTTTAATCTAGTTTTGTAATCTATTCGCTTTCGGCAACTGATAGATATTATCACCACAATGAACAGACAAAGCTGTTCACATTGAAGATGTTTATATGATAGATTTTGAACAATTTCTTGTGAAGTGCTGTTTGATATATTTCACCTAACTTACTGTTTTGCATCAGTGAAGTACTAGTCAACTCAAAACCTACCTGCTACATACATTTATAATTTTCTTTATTTTTATAGTAGAATCATTACCATGGGAATTTCGACGACTGTTAAAGTGGAGAGCAAGTTTACTAACGCCGATTGTCGTTAAGCAAACTTTACAACGTACAGGATTTAGAGCTTCGAAATGTGAGTTGTTTTCAGGTTTCTCTCTTCTCTAGTTTTCAGTTCGTTCATTGAAAACATCCTCTTTCTTCCCGTTACTCTTAATAACATTTAGAAGTTACTTTTAGAGTAAAACGAGATAAAGGAAACAGGAATTATCGTCAATCACTAGACTGATTTTGTCATTGAATTGAGCGTTTGTAAGTTTCTGATTCAGTGTGAATTGAAAGCTCCATCAAGTTTCTTTTGGAAATCACTGGCATTCACATCAGTCTATAAAACACTACGAACTATTTGAATGCTGTGAGTTGAAATACTGCTTAATAGTTCGAGCATGTTAACATAATGATGTCTGGAGTAGAACGCTTCACTTAAAAGGATAGACTACATTGCATGTACAAATGATATTCCTTCTGATGTCAAACTACAATAGCAGTCTTATGAAGATTAACGGCTTGAGCATAATTCTTGTTAAATAATTCACTAAATTTAACTTTATCCTCCTTTTAATTTCTTTTTCTTTAACTGTTTAGTAACTAACGCATCTGAAGATCTAGAAACAGTTGGTAAGTTTTGTATTAACTGCCATAATCCGTTTTATTCTGCTATTGGAGATATAATTTCACCTAGATATTGGAAAAACTCTTGATGGAAACTGTTTTTACAGGATAATATGTTATCCTAGTACCTTATGTCAGCTTACTGACTGATTTTATTAGGGATCATTATTTTTACCAATGATCTTGTAAATAGTGTTATAATTAAGCTCAGAACACATGAATCCTTGTAAGTTAGGCGGTATACATAGGGTGATAAACATCTTCATCTTTATTATTCTCACACTAGTTAAGACTACCAATCAAAAATCAGTATGAATATTCATCAACTATAAAGTAATTTCATGTTTTATTCCGTATTATATAATTAAACTAGTTCTTATTTGGTATAACATGGATGATGGTTGTGAGCAAGCGACTCCAGGATACGTGTTTCAGCTTATTTGAGAGTCGTCAAGTTTATGTACCTGCATAATCAGTGAATAGTGATTATTTGACATAGTTCAGTGGACTGTCAGTTCAATTAAAAATGTCTGATTCTAGTTATGCAATTCGATGTATCATTTTGTTACTTAGCCTTTTATATGCCTTCAAGGTCGAAATCTTTCAGTGTACATCATGATCTCCACTAAGTGTTGTTCAATAACACATTCCTGTATGGCTTTGTTTTAAGTTAATTTAGGGTTGTATGCCTTCATTCTCTTCAAAAGGATGAATGAATCAATACTATCATCTGATGAAGGTCACACACCTATTCCCTAAGTTGTTACCTTAACAAATTAATTCACACAATTCTATTTTGTTTTGTATATCATTAATGGTGCAATTTATTTCATAATTACAACTAAACGGTTTAGGTTTAAGTGCATTTCTCAACTACTCCTTCTCCTCCTCCTTTGTGACCTTAATTTTCTATCTGATTGTTCTGTTTTCAAAGGACAATAAAACACTGTGATATTAATTCTATGGTAGTTGTTCAAATGTTGTTCTTTTAATTAACAGTAGGACAGAAATATAGATGGGTATATTCTGGTTTCAGTTTCTTATTTGTTTAACACACTTTTTCCTGATAAATGAAACAGAAAAAAAAGACTAATTGATCATTTATTTATTTAATCTCTGAAAAACACAACTGTTTCATTCTGAACTCTTAATATTTGAATAATCGACTGAGTGAAGACTAATTAATAATACATAGTATGTGGTCTGCACTGTTAAAGTGTAGAAGTTTTCTGTTTATGTATTATACGGTTAGACCTGTTCTTTACCTTTAGTCTTACATTTCAAACCGATTTCATATAAATAAAATATTAGAGTGAGTGAAGAGAAATCTGACAATAATGAAAGTTGATATTTTAGTGAAAGGCCGAGTAAAACAGAACAGATTTGTAGGTCAGGTGGATTTTTTGGGGTAGTTGTATTCTCTGAGTTCAGCGGCGAGGTGTGTTCATTGTGAAGCTTTCATTGTTTTTCTGGAGAACTTCATCAGCGCTAACTTCATTGTGGAGTCAGCGCTGAAGATGCTGACTACAGAAGGTCATTGCAAGCAGCACAATTAAACCATTCAGTACACAAAAGTTAACATTGCCAAAAATAAGTAAAATACTTTTGCAAAGGTATTGAATTAGTTATTCGCTTTTACTACTTTTTCCAATGACATGTTTACTAATCAGGTCTTTTTCAGTAAGGCAAATGTTTTTGCGATTATTGTTATTATTCCCTTGGGTTCCGAATGGAACATAGGACTTCAACAATACATCTCCACTTTCTTTTATTTGGTGCTGTCCTTCTCAGCCGAGTTCAAGATTGATCATAATCTCTCATCTCTTCCTCGCACCATCTCCTTCATGTCACCCTAGGACGACTCACTCATCACTTTCTATTGGGATTCCACTCGAGTGATGGCCTGCACTGCGCACGATGTCATTTGACGGCCGACTCAGAGGCGCGTGCCCGATCCATCCATCTCCATTTTCTTGTACATATTTGTTGAGCGGTCGGCTATTGGTTGGTTTGTTTCCAATTCTTTCTGACTGGCCATTTGATCTTCAGTATAGAGCAAGCGAAGGTGGCAGCTGTTGATAAATGTCTGAGGCTTGTTGGAAATCCTTTTTGTGACACGCAGTGAAAGTTTCTGACCCGCACAGAAGCGGTGACTGACTTGACATTTGTGTTGAAAATCTGAATTTCGTTATCTATGCTGGTTGAGTACAGAAGATTTCCAAACTGGTCGATGATTGCGTATCTTGCCTTTCCGATTCTGTCTGACTTTGACATCTTCATCCTTTCTGACTGCCTGTAGTTGAAACGATGCTTCCTAGATTAGTGAAGGAAGTAACCTCTGTTGAATCTCTCCCGCTGATGGTAATTAGTGCTGGTTGTTGCGGTTCGTCTTGTTTATGTTCACCTGGAGTCCAGTCTTCGCTGCTTCTTCATTGCTGCTGCCTTAACTATGTGTGCTTTTTCAGTGTTTTCTATGGATAGTGACCATATAGCCTTCTTTTCAGTACTTCTATGTATTACTGATACTACAGGACTGGACTACACTGACTTTCAGTCTAGAAATAGGGAGTGAAATGGTAGAGCACGTTGACCACTTCACTTATTTGGGAAGTTGCGTCAGCCCCAACGGGTTGATCGCTGACGAAAGATCAGCACGGATACAGAGGGCTAGTTTTGCATATGCCAGTTTACGCCGTCTCTGGCGTAGACGTGATATCTGGCTGGCTATCAACCAAAGAGCGTGTGTGCTACGCATCAGTCCGCTCCGTCCTCCTTTATGGTTGTGAGACCTGACCATTGAGAGTGGAGGACATGAAAAGGCTAGCTGTCTTTGATCATAGGTGCCTGCGTTCTATCTCCCGTGTGAAGTGGCTTAATAAGGTGAGCAATATTGAGGTTAGGCGTCGAGCGCTAGGTAAGGAGGAGAAGTCAATCGACGAGGCTGTGAATCTACATCGACCGAGATGGTTAGGACATGTGTTACGTATGTCTAATCATCGCCTTCCTCTATGTGCAGTGTTAGCTGACATAGGGTCAGGCTGGAAAAGAGCTGGCGGTGGTTAAACCAAAATATGGCACCAGTAAATGAAATCCACAACAGTTAGTTTAAGCCGGCAACGCCGGGAGATATAGACTTCCTGGTCGGGGTCCTCTAGGTGGTAAAAACCAATGACTGAAGACAATTGGTGATATGGCTCAAAATCGTTCTCAGTGGAGCAGACGCATCCGCTCCTTGTGACTTATAATACCCAATGAAACTATATTGTTCTTCTTTATTACTATTCCTTTTGTCTCACACCTCTGTTTACTGTCTCTATTATGCATTTCTTGTACTTTCTTCTCTTGCTTTGTGCGCTACATGGAGTGTGGCGACTTGAACTTCTGCACATCGGTGCGAAGTTCTATGTTGAAAACAGACAGACAGACTTCTAAGTATTAAGACCTTAATAAAAACCTTTAGTTTAAGTCATCAGATGACTGAAGGGAAATAAAGGGAACGTTTGCACTTATGCTTCGCGCTTTTTAGCACTTGTTAGCAGCAAGGCGTCTTTGCAGCATCGAGGTGACTCATACATCATGACACCACAGAAAACCTGAGTAGTGATGATTCTAACTGTTTCAATGTTTAACTTGGATTCATATGTCTCAGGCTAGAATCAGCTGTCTCTCACAGCTGAGATACTTCTTTCTGACAAGTGATCATAACCGCGAAACTTAAATGGAAAGTTTCCTGTTGATAATATATAACCATCCTGCATCTATTCAAACTTCTTTGCAATGACGAGTCTCAGCCTTTGGGCCGTTACTCAGACTTGACTGATAGAATTCATTTAGTTCTAGAGACTAGACAACATAATATTGATCTTAATGAACAATATTTAACAGTAACTGCAAGTTGTTGAAAGGACAGTTGTGTTAGCTGATCCCGATAAAAATCAAAGGATACACGAGAAATTATTAGTAGTTAATTGAACTGTAATTTATCAATAAAGTTTTCATACACTCTTGGTCGGCATAATTCCGTTGAAAGTACTGACGTTCTGTATATGGATAGAAAGTACAGAGTATAATCTGATTTTTTTGGTTGACGAAAATGCAGTGTTCTTTGAACGTTCTAGTTATTTTCGAAAGGAGTTAAAATCTATTCTTGTTTTAACCTGATGATATAATTTCTGGTCTGACTGTAGTTCAGTTCCCTAATTATCATAGATTATATTTGAATCTAGAAAATACGATGAGTTCGCATATGAGTTTGATATGGTAACATGCTTAAATATTCAATCTTTAATATGTTGATTGGAACTTATAGATCAGCTTTCAATGTTATCAGTAGGCTTAATGATAAAATACTGTAGCGAATCATAGTGGATTATGAATTTTTCTACAGTCACTTAATTGTTTAGAAATATTCACCTTGATAGGTTGATAAATCTGTTTACATTTACAACAGGTTTAGTGTAATAAAGTAAGAACTTAACTTTACTGATATTAGTCAGCTTTATCTTTATAGATTCAGGTCATTATGTTTAGAAATTGCTTACCGATTGAATTCATTTTAACTTATCCACAATTTATATCATTTGATAAAATAAATAAGTGATTTTTGAATAAGTGTGTAATAAACTTGTGAAAATTATTTCATTTATATAAAACAAAGCTTCAACTGAGTAAATACTTTATTTAGTCATAAAGTATAGTTTGTTTAGAATAAGGGATATAATTTCATTTTTCTCAATATCTAAAACAACAGTTATTTTGAACAGTTGTTTTAATTTTTATTGATTTTAAATGGACTGGCTTCAATTCTTGCATTGAATGTTAAAACAGCTGCTAGAGTGGTTTCGATTACAGGTTCATTGCGTCAGAATAACAGTTCACGTTGGAAAAAAACACAACTCTTTAATAGCAAACATTTTTAACTTAACTTTTTCAGAAATATTTACTGGAATATATTCTGTTTTCTGTTAAAAACCTTTAAATTTATATCTAAGACAGGTCTGATTGATCTTTAGTCTTTAAAACTGATAATAATGACACTTACTGAGTATTTTGTTATGTCCCGTTCTTTGCAAATTCTTGTGATTCTTACTTACATTACATTTATGATTCCATTCTTCTTAAAGTTGAACAAAGAAGGAACAGCAGATGTAGCAGGTTAATATGAACTCAAGATGTGAATTATTCCACGGATTCTCTTCAACGTCAACCAGGGAATCATAATGTTTCACTGTGTGATATATCCAATGAAGAAGTTGACATGAATGTCTTTTGTCAATTTAAGATTGTATCGTGAAGTACTAGCTTTTTCCAACATTTGTGGAATGCAGAATTTAAGTGGGTTCTTGTGGCTCAGACGGCGGACTACCGGACTAGTAACTGGGAGGCCACTGGTTCCAACTCTGTCGTGAACCAGATTTTCATTTCACTCTCTGTCATCTCCTTATTATTAGTCTGACACACTAACAGCTCAACTATGATATGTATTTTATAATGAATTAGTTACGGTTTTGTACGAATAAGGTAAAAAATAATAAGGGTTATTCATACTCGATTGCTTTTGTTATTTTGAAAGTATGCCTGAAAAATATAATGAAAGGCTGATTTTATTTTAGGAAGCTGTTTAAATTCATTATCATTTAATGTAGATTTTCTCAATAACTGAAGTCAGTTAGAAAGCCAGAGAGCAGTGAACAGCTGCTTCGTACAAGTTTGGGACTCCTCAACGACGTGCATCCCAAGATCCCATTAGATACCGAACAGGGACCTTTATATAAATAAGATGGGTTGATTATTTGTTACTAAATGGATGCTCCGAAGATGCAATGAAGAGTTGTGGCTATTAGAGTTTACCATATTGAGGTGAAGAGGAAGTTCATCGACAGTATTGGTCAATGGTAAGTCATGAATTGACAAAAGTGAGAATTTACGGGTCATTGCATTCTGTCTCATTGGCTGAATGGTCAAAAAGCTGCTCACTTAACCTGTAGATGTACACTGCTGAAGAGACCCATATTGGTTGGAGACAGGTGAACAGTGCTCCCTGGTTTTTAGTGATCCTCTCCTTACTGACGTTTCTTCGTGACGACACAGACAGTGAAAATAATCCAAGTCTCCATTAGACCAATAATTTGAATATCATTGTCAACTGGTCCTAAGCATAAATGCATTCTATGCCAATTTGAACGGCGAAATTTGAAAAGAGATATTTCTGATTATATTATTCCTGGTTATGATTCGACACTGTAAGTGTTTAAAAGTAGCCTTTCAGTGAGACATTTTAAAAATTAAACCATATTTATGCATGTTTTTTGAAGGCTATTGTTTATATTGACGAAAAGGTCAAATTTGTATACATCTATTTATTTTCAAAATGAGCTTAAATGTGTATTTGTAATTTTTACAAAAGTTTCATTGCATGTTTCTGTTTGTTTACAATTATTTCACAGAATCATCTGATTGGATATTTTATTTCGGTAAACATATGCGTCCTCAAGTATTTCATACAATTAAAATGTATCAGAAGGTAAAGAAAATATTGCCCTTTGAACGATATTTCAATAACAGCCTCATCTGAACACCCTGAAATGGTATATGATCTGTGTAAAACCTGACTGGTAGGAATGATTAAAATCGTTTAAGGAAGGTAAAACTAGGAAAGAAACTTTAAAACGTAGCAGCCTAGGATTAACACAGTACAACTGATGTAATAGGTTATAGTTCAAAGTGAAATGAAATTATGGATCGTTGGAGCATTGAAACCAGCCCCTATACCTAATCAACTTCAGCTCACATATTTGCGTTTTGCACTAATCATTCCCAGTAAACAATGATTCTAGCAAGAACCGGCTGCTTAACGTGACATTCGGTATACATGAAAGGGAATGTGAATGCCACTGTCCTCGACTTTCATGGAGAACCACCTCTTTGTCCAACAGTCTTTTTTTCTGACAACAGAACTAGTTATTACACAAATCACAGTACGGTTGACACTTGTTTTCGCGTGCTTTTACTGGAGTATCAATAATCATAAATTGCATACCGTGATTCTCACTCTGCTTTAATATACTTCAATCTCTACCGAATTTTGACAGAGAAAATTTTGCTTAGATTGAAGTGTTCTTATCCAACTCGTTATATCTAGTATTCAAGTTATACATCGGATGTTGTGAGAAGCATATTTTTTGATCGGAAAAACTGAATAAACACAGATTTAGTGATTTAGTAATTATTCTGTATGACTTTTAAATGGGGAGAAATCACAGTAGACAACTAAAACATACTTTTCATTATGCTAGTGTTAGATGGTGATATAAAAATAAATTTTAACTCACTACCATACTAGCAATTTATTACTATAACGAGCGAAGTTGTTTTGTTTCCGTCACTTAAGCTATACTTCACTGAATAAATTAAATGTTTGTCTTTTATGACTAATCGCTTCCCCTCATCTTCGAGGATGAATTTGTGCAGTTGTGGATGGCCAGCTTATACGTTTGACTACCAGACGATTGTAACACAAGCTTAAGTAGCAATAATATAGTAAATCTTTATGCCAATAGTGTGGCTAACGTTATAACAGATACATCACTTATTATTATTTTTAACAGTGATTCCAAAATTTCCGTTGATTGTTTTTGTATCAGACCGAAATACTCAGTCTCTAGTGATATGTTCGCTGATATGGACGCCTCTGCTGTGCCTTGAGGTAAACATAGTGTTACTTAGTTGCTAATGCCTGTCAGTGAAATATAGGACGTAAGTATCTTATTTTTTCAGACCTGTCAGTTGGACATACCTGCATTCCAATGAGTGATGGTGATTTAATGAAACTCAAACCCAGAACCAGTCGTTTTAGACACTAAAATGTTATCCACTAGGCCATTTCTTGTTCAGTAGTTAAGAAGAAGTAGGTCACGTTGCCCAATTGTCTGCTGGATAACGCTTTGGTGTTTGGAACTTTGGTCACCGGTTTTGAGTCTCAGTGGGAACACCACCACTCACTGAGCTTTGGAGGAACAACTAGCTGACAAGTTCTGAGTAGGAAGAAACAAGCGTCCCCGTATTTACTTGTTTGATACCACCAACCAAAAAGCATTCTATAATTAACGTTTATTCAGCCTAAATACAATTTAATTTTCATTGTTTACAGGTAAATCACTTACCCTGTTCATTTCAACTTGGTCGTAAAGATCGTCTGTGGAGAAATATAATTCATATGCAAGTTAAACATGGAAAAGAAAATTTCAATTTTATGCCTCAAACGTACTGTCTACCTGGAGATTTAGATGAATTAAAAAAAGCATGGGATGAAGAAGGGCAAAATCAACGATGGATTATGAAACCTGTTAGTTGATTTCAGTTTGCTTTTTAAGTAGGCTATAGTATATTGTTAAGCCGATTGGTTTCGTCTTTATTTCAGGAAATTATGTGATGACTTGTCATCATTTTGTAGTCCTTTTAATTAGATTTCATTCAGCGTTATCTGCTTGTAGAAACTGCTGTTATTTATTACACTGCTTTCTCAACCCGGCTACTTAATTATTATATTTTTATTACCGTGGGTTCTGAGTGGACGATCAATCTTCGGCAGCATATCTCTATTTCGCTGTGTTCTTTGCAGTTCTCTTTAGCTGGTTCCACGAGTGCCAACGAGCACCTGTCTTTGGTTGGACTCTGGGCATTCACAAGTGTCATACGTCTAATCCTTTGTTTGGTGCAGACGGAATTCTATCGTCACGTTTGCAATGTGGCCACCATGCTGGGTGGTTAGCTTTCAAGGTGAATAGCAGGTTAATCTCTAGTTGAAATAGCTTAGTAGTAAAGTATCTGACTTGATAAGTGAGTGACGAGAAAATACTTTCCTTCAAGATTGTAGAAACGCCTTGCCGACCAGTGCTAACAAGGACTAAACCTAGATCAAAGGCTTCCTGCTGCTTGCCTCCAACCATCTTATAATAATGGAGCTCCAATCTCCCCCTCACACGATCCCTCCATGTCACTTTTGGACGTATCAACAACTCAACGCTTCTCATTCCGGCTTTGTTGAGTGATCTGACTGGGACGTGATTTCATTCAACTGTCTTTTAAGCGTAGGTCCAATCCATCTCCAATTCATTCCGAACATTTTTTGAGCGATAAGTTATCGGTTAACTCGTTCCCAGCCTTCTCGTTGCCAATTCTTTCTAGCCAGCCATCCCGTCTTCACTACGGAGCAACAGAAGGCAGCTGATGATAAAAATCTTCAGGAACCTGTTGGAAATGCTCTTGGTGACACACCAATTCTCTGACTCATATGCAAGAATCTACTTGATATCGTGTTGAAAATCTGAATATTCTTCCCTATGCTGAGTGCAGGACATGTCCACAGTGACTTCAGATTGATGAAGATTTATTTCCCTTTTCCGATCCTATCATGACATCTTCATCTGTGCAGCCTCTAGTTGAGATGATTCTGTCTGGATTAGTGAAAGAGGTGACTTCCATTAGATTGGTGCCAAATGTTGTTGGTTAGGGGTCCTCGTCACCTCTCTCTTCCATATCTTCACTTGAACTCCTGTCTTCTCTGCAGGCCTCTCTCACCAACTTGTTGCTTTTCACCTGTGAGTATTTAGCTTCAGCGACATGAGACACTGATCATCTGAGAAGTCAAGATCTTCCAGTATCTTCTCGTCAGCACAGTGTATGCCTCTTTTCTCGTTACTCACAATCTGTTGCAATATCCACCTGAACACTTGATCAGGAATGTCATTGGTGACAGTAGAAAACCTTGTCTTACTCCAGTCCATATTTCAAAGACTTTGTTGAGCTTTTCGTAGTGAATCACTTAGCATGTGGCATCATCATATAGTCAGCTGTTGAGTGAGGTTGATGCTTGCTTCAGGTAGTCCGTAGTATTGAGGCAGTTTCCAGATTACTTCACAGTCAACTCCTCCTAATGCCTTTTCAGAGTCGACGAAGATGTGACTACCATTCGCGCTTCGTTTGATGGAATTGTGATTACTGCTTTATATTTATTTGCAAATTTTTCGAAGTACTTTTCACCATCGAAATTTCTGTCATTATTTATAGTATCGGGTGTCTAATTACCTCAGATGATCACGAATTATTTGATTTTGAAAAATTGTGAGACCAGATTTATTTTATATTACTTTACTCAGATTATTTGTAGCCTCATATATTCTGAAGTAATGGTGCAGATCTGTAGCTCAGGTGGATGTGTTTGGTGTTAATATGTTATCCAAGTTATACTATTTAATGCCAAGCTTCCATTATCATTCTGTACACCATCTTCAGATTTAGCTTCGGTATAACTTGTGCCTCCTTCGGATTATTGACGGATGATGTATTTCTTTCTCCTTATGACCGTCACTGTGACTAGTTGTTCCCATAGATCTCTTTATTATTGTATCAACTTGCATTGTCACCGACCATTTCGTTATCCTTATATTTAGTATTTGGTTGTGTGACCTTTTTTACTTATTGACAAATTTTATCTCTATCCATATGTCCATTAATTGCAAATTGATTTGAGTACCAGACCCCAAAGAAATCTCATGTGATTTTTGTGTTTCAACTGTCCAAGATTTTTACGTTTATTCGCTTCAACTAATGTACTTTGATATCCATGAGGATTGCTATATCTTTTGACTGATACTTTATAATCATGCATACAAAGATTGAGAGGACGTCTGCTTTGGCCAGTGAAGTCTGTTTCACTGTTCATGCAATCTCCATTCTCCGTGAATAAGAAAGTTCATAACCTTCTCCCTCTTCATGGTAGCACTGCCTTAAACAAACCGCTGAATGGTTAATAAACTAAAGTTTAAAATTACAACCATTCAAACCCATATATTACCTGTTTACATAAAGAATGCATACCAGTGGAAAGTTTTCAGTGCTGGAAAACAGTTTCAATGCAGTTCTTGCCATTTAGCTGCTCATTTTTCAACTGCGCTGAAAATAGAATTCAAGACTACTAAGCTATTTAAATGGATGCTTCACTATCCATTTACTGGGTTTTAGTTCGTCAATAAGCAATTGGAGTTACAGACGGTCTTGTCACTCCTACTAGTCACAATTTCTCGTTAGAATCCTTTATATCCTTCCCCAAGTTGGTCACTAATAAACTGTGAATTAATACTTAATTAATAGACTGGTTGGAAATTATGAGGACCTTCCTAAGGGGCTTTATCATCCTTGATTTGATTTCACACGGGTTAGTAAATATGTAATCGTGAAGATTGCAGAATAAGGGTCATTTCTAACCTCAACAGGTGCTGTTGAACTATCCGACTGTTTATTTTTACACTAGATATTGTAACTGGTGTATGACCAATAAGAGAAATACACCAAATTTTCAAGAGCTAGTTTATAGAGATATGGTTTGTTTCAAGTTTCATCCTTGATTGATGTAATTTAAGGGACCATTGAAAATCAAGAGTACTGAACAGCTGTTTCGACCTAGTTTGGGATTATTCAGCTGTCTCTGGTTTTCAATGGTCCTTCAGCAAACTTGAAATACACTTATTTGTTAATAAAGTTACGTTTCACTCCTTTGGACTTACTGTATTCATTTTTCTTTAAAAAGCAAAGTTTTACTTAGGTTATATCATCAACTTTGTTTGGATATTTATTAGGCAATTCTATGCCTTTTCTATGCCTTCAGCAATGTAATATGCGTCGGTGATTGTATACTATGTAACAACTGTTTTCAGTAGTTGAATTTGTACATAACCTTAAACTTTGCCTTAATAACTCCCTAAAAATAAGTCTTGATATGTTTCGTTTTAATTATTTCTGTCCATTTAGTTATACTAAATGTAATCAATTCTAACCTTGAATGAAATAAAATTTGAATTGATTGCTATTCATAAACACACTACTGAAAAATCAAAAAAACATTTCCAAAATGCCTTTCTAAGCTCGCATATGAATCCTTTTGAAATACGTCAATATTTACACTGCATTAAATACTTGGTTTACATTTAAATTAACTTGAACTGAGTTGTTATACTGACTTTTTATGTCCTGTCTCTATACTATGTTTCGCAATAGAAGAGCTAGTTTATATGTTTTAACTATAGATTGGCTCCGCGGATTTGATTTGCTTCTGATGCCATTTGCTTCAGAAGTTAACTTGAAAAGATTTAATTTGTTTCAGTTTTGATCACGGATTGATGCCATTCGGGGAACCGTTTAAAATCAAGGAGTACTGGACATCTGTTTCATCCTGGTTTGTGGCTCTTCATCAGTGCGCACCTACTGGGGCTTGAAACAAATCAGATCCCCACAAACGAAATGTCTAAAACCAATCTGATGCTCGCTAGTGACTGGTTAAAGAAAGAAGTTGCCTGGAATTCTATTAAGAAGTCGTGACCAGTGGGGTCCACCAAGACGGGTGTGGGAACAAATACCTGCCAATGACACTGGCTTGGGGTCGTGCTTAAAAGATCATGAACTTATAGAAGTAGTAATTCATGGACCATTGAGTCGAGTCCCGGTGGCTGAGTGGTCTATGAGCTTGACTTGTAATAGGAAAGTCCTGTGTTCAAACCCTGGTGGTTGGGTACCGCCAGTGAGTTCCAAACTAGGACGAAACAGACGTCCAGCACTCCTTGGTTTTCAGAGGGTCCTAAACGACATCAATTCGTGATCAATCTTGAGTACTTGATTATTAAAAATGTCTTAAATATTTCTGGTCACTATAAGTTCATTGAATAATATTTTGTCGGCTTATTTCAGAGTAACAAATCAGTTCTATTCCAATGACTTTTTTTATCACAGTTTAAGGATGAGCAGTGGAATTTTTGAACATACTGAGCAGTTCACTTATTCTCAGTTCATTCTCAACGAAATATCAGCAAGAATAGAAGAGGCCCGTGTGTCATTTACCAATTCACGTCATCTCTAAAGTAGAGGTGATATCCGGCTATCCATCAAAGAACATATGTTCTGCTCAGTATTTCATTCTGTTTTTCTTTATGGCTGTCAGTTATCACCGTTGAAAGTGGAATATATCAAGGGGATAGTTGTCTTTGACCAAAGATGCTCGCATTTTCTATGCAATCAAGTGGTGTTATTTGGTGAATAATACTGAGGTTAGGCACAGAGTGTTAGGTAAGGAGGGAAAATCGTTCAATGTGACATGTTACGTGACATAAGAGAGCTAGGGATAGTCAAATTAAAACAAGGTAACATTACATGAACTGTTAGACTGTTACTTTGTACCACACATCTCTGGAGACTGTTAGTGGAATGCTTCTGATGGCGCAGATACATTCACACATTATGATCTCGTACAAGTGTAAAACTAGAAAAGTGAATGGAAAACAAACATGAATAAAACTTGCCATAGAACCAATGGAATAACACTTCGCAGACACTTAGGCAATACTATTATCCAGTTAGTGTCAGTAAAAAGTTTGAGCATTGTGGAATAGACCAAATTATTTTATAGTTATATTTCAATAGTTTACACACATGATAAGTTCTTTTTCTTTTGGTAATATTTCGAGCGAAATTATTGCTTATGATCACACCAACTGTCGGAATTGTTTTTTAATTTAATATTGAGTCTTTCTTTTTATTTTGAGTCTTTTAACGCCTGGTAACTCTGAGTCATTAAGCCAAGGAACTGTTGAACCACTGAACTAATGTCAATGAAAGTGAAATTTTTTAATGAGGTGAATTTTCTTTCACCGGTCATTCGTAATATTCGTGCAAGCCTTTGAGTACTATTAAAATCTCCTTCAATTATGAAAAGAATTAGACCGTTAAGCAGTGTGAATTCGGCAAAACAAAAAGAAGACTAAAACATTGACGAACTGCGCACTTAAAACTTACAATGAATTAATTCAAAAATTAGGGTGGTAAACATTAAATTGCCGGGCTACTAATTTATTGGTATCCCATGCAACATTTTCATGAATTTGTTTCATAAATATGTGTCTTTCATAAAAAAAAGTGCGTTCGAGGTCATTCGCTGATCCGTAGTTTGTGGTTTTTAAAGTTTAACTTTGCCTATATATATATACCTATATATAAGATTGTGAGAGGCGCTCGTCAATATGCCCTGGACCTAATTCTTATGCTAGTTGTGACCTTCGAGCTAAGCATATCTGCAACCTTGAAGGAATTGAAATTCAAATTTGCGATACCCAGAGCTGCAGTCAGGGATGTTTTAATTGAACTATTCGAGCTCATAACTGATCTCTAGTAGAACTGTGGTGGATGTATTAATTAGTCACTAATACGTAACCAGCGCCATGAGTATGATAAAATTCATCTTGCATCAAGATTGCAGGTACAACATGCTGCTAAAAATGCATGAAATACGGGTCTAGGGCTTCCTGTCGACTGTCTTCAACCATCTAACATCAGTTCATAGTGAACTGAGATGGTAGGTCAACTAGCTTGGTGACCATATTGCAAATTTGGTTGATAGAACTCAACCAACACCAAAGACTAAACGCGTGACATCAATTATTCCCTAATGACTAATCAATATATATAATCAGAACAAGCTCTGTAGACTGAAAAGCTCTACTAATAATGTACTTCTGAAAATGTCAACATTAGAGACTCGTTTTTGAATTTGTTTTACATTTATATTGACGTAAGTTTTACACATTTCAGTAATATTGTTTTATTCCAATACTAAAAGTAACAAAGCATTGGTTTTTGTATTTCATTGATTGACAGCCAGCATCCGCTCGTGGAATCGGTGTTCGATTGGTTACCAAATGGTCTCAGATACCTAAAAAACGTCCAGCTCTTATTCAAAAGTATGAAGCATTTAACGCCTTTCAATAAATTTTGTTGTATGTGCATTAAATTATTCTAAACCTTCACAGTTAATTATTTATCAAACTATAGGATTTTTCTTTTTAACTTTATAATTTTTAATGAGTAACATTCCAGCTTAGCTCAGTGCGTTGATAGTAAGATTAATGTAATAAAAGTAATTAATTAGTGATTGCAAATTCAATTATAGTAACCAACATCAAGGATCGGCCAAATAACGTACTGCACGACCTTGAAGCAACCGATCACATCACTAGTTATGAATGCCTCGCATATTTTGCGTTTATATATCGTTCTTGTTCTGGCTGTCTTATCATTTGAAAGCAATGAATTATTTACTATGACTAATTTAGAAACTTTGATAAAGCAAGTGAAGGTTAATTAAGCTGTCCAAATACAATTTTTCAACATATTTAACAATTTTAACCTCACTCGTTATGACTAGCTTGTTCAGGTTATTTGGAATGTCCATGTTATAGGTCACTACAATTTTCCTCAATTGCAAAATTTCTTTATCTTCTTCACGTCTTGTGTTTACCGAAATGTATAATTTGTTTTCGATGGATGTTGGTGGCTACAGCACAAAGAATATATATATTTCATAAAAATCTTCCCAATAAAGCAAAAACGACAAATGTACCAGGATTATCTGAGATCATTTTTTATTATTTCGTGGATTCTTCTCAACTGGTTACAACACGAACAATACAGAAATTATAAATTAAATTAAATATCTGGACATAATTTTTACAATGATAAGGAGTAATTGGTTGGAACTGAGAGTAACATTGGTCTGTAATGATGTAAATTGTTAAATTAATTAAGACTGAAAAGGATCGACTATTTATAGAAGAATTCCATGACTAAGCCTGAAACAGAAGGACAGAGTTCAACAGATGTTTTGTAAGTAGAAACAAAGCTTAACTAGGAGGAGTGTAAAAAGTGACAGGTTACATAATCACAGAAAAATTAGTTTTTTTGGAATATACAAAAGGGGGGAGGTAGGATGTGTTATGTTTAGATGAAAAATCAAGGTTTCTAAACAGGACAGATGATGACGCAGTGAAATTTGTATCCTTTGTTATCCCTAAGGTAGTGTAAGATTTACCGCTGTCTCTTTCTGTGTACATAGATTTAGTTTTAGCCGTCTGATAGCGATCGCCTCAGAAAAGCGAAGCAGGCTAGCTTTCTTTTGCCTGTTGATTATTTTGAACGCCTACAGATTGTTCACAATATGACCAGTGTCTAGTAGATGGCATGCAATCGTACTGCTTAATGCTTGTGGGCCATTTAGTCTCAGGTTCTCTGATATGTGTTCAGCGATGCGGACAATAGCTCTTCTCTTTCTTCTTCCAATGTATGTACTTTAGCACGTACATGTAAGTTGATAAACGCAGTTTGAGGTAATATGAGGTGGGAGTTTGTCCACTTTTGACTGTCTTAAGCAACAGGTCGTTTGATATACACATACAAGCTTGGCAGTTGGATAAGTTCTTTTCAGGGCTGCGTACAGTCTGCATCTTATTGTACTAACAGTATCGTCACCTTTCAAGGCAAGCTATAGAAAGATGGGTTTTTCCTCTACTGTGCTGTACTTCACCTTGTCAAGACTACGCTTTCCATGTTGCTCAATGAATTTCTATAGGTAACCATTATCACGCAGGCATTTCTCAACAGTGGCTAGTTCTTCCTCGACGTTTTCTTCTGAACAACGCTTCCATACACCAAACAATGTTCTCACCAATATCTTTTTGTAACCTATAGGGCAGAAGCTAAACCGCCCTCCACGTCTCTTTTCTGTAGATGTACCTCATGATTTTACCATCTTTATCACGTTCGATGCTAAAGTCCAAAAAGTGAAATTTGTCCTCATCTTTACACTCCATTGTAAACTTTATATTAGGATGAGCACTACTCAAGATGTTTAATATTTGAGGTGCGTCATTAAAACAATCACAAATGACAAAAGTGTCATCGACATACCTGGTATAGAAGTTTATCTGATCGATTGCGGACTTCATTCTTGTTTGTTCCAGGTTTCCCATACAAATGTCTGACAGAATCGGACCCAGCGGACTCCCCATAGCGACTCCATCAATTCAGTGGCACAGAACATTTTAAAATTAAAACTGTATGTCCTTAGTACATATTAGCACCAGCTGTGTGAGTTCATTCTTTGGCAGATGAATGAGATGAGCATGTTGACATATAGTTTGTGTTGTTTCTTATTGCGGGATCTTTGTAAACAGCGAAGAGACGTCAAATGACACCACGAATTTATGTGAGATATCTAAATTCTCTACCTGTTTAGCGAAATGAAAGGTGTCTTTCAAGCTGTAGATAGGTAACTTGGTATGGATTGGCTGCAACAGTTCTGCTAACCACCGAGCTGCTTTGAGATACGGAGAAATGACCATGGATAGTATTGGTCTTATGGGAACGTTGGGTTTACACATCTTTGGTAAGCCGTATAAGACGGTCTGGATCCTCTTGACTTCAGTTAATTGTTTGTGTTGTTATCAATCAACTTCTACAAACGTTCTCTTAGTTTCTTGATAAGTCATCTTTCCATCGGTTCAGTTAAATCTTTTTTCAAATGATCAGTTCAAAATGTTGGTGCATCACTCAAAACTGATTTGACTTTCGGTACATAATCATCTTTGTCCATTATCACAACCCCTGCTCCTGTGTCAGCTCGGAGAATAAAAACAGATTCATAAGGAGTTAAATTTCGTAATACTATTTGATGGTCTTTTGACAAAACTGGGGACTTGGGATTTAGGGATATTGTGTATTGATTAGTAATATCCACAAGTCAAAATTTTAACCAGCCTTGTTTCTCTTCATCCATCGGTTTTAATTCAGATAGTTGATGATTCATACCTTCGAACTGGGGTTCAACGTCAATTTTGTTGATAAATTTCGTCGGAATGTAGAATCTGAAACCTAATGAAAGTACTTCTATTTTTATCTGAGTCAGCTTATAACTGGACAAATTAAACATGAATTTTTCAGGATTCTTTCTAGTTAAGCTTTGTTTCTACTTACAAAACATTTGTTGAACTCTGTCCTTCTGTTTCAGGCTTAGTCATGGAATTCTTCTATAAATAGTCGATCCTTTTCAGTCTTAATTAATTTAACAATTTACATCATTACAGACCAATGTTACTCTCAGTTCCAACCAATTACTCCTTATCATTGTAAAAAGTATGTCCAGATATTTAATTTAATTTATAATTTCCGTATTGTTCGTGTTGTAATCAGTTGAGAAGAATCCACGAAATAATAAAAAATGATCTCAGATAATCCTGGTACATTATCCGTTCTTGATTTATTCGAATATATATTTCCTTAAAACTTCACATGACTTGTGATACAGCGGTGATGGACGAAGCAGGGACCTCAACTAAATACCGAATTCGGTCGGTCTTCCTCACTGTCTTCTGTTTCAGTGAACCACAAAATTAGAAGGTCACAAACCATACACTTTCCAAACACACAGATTTACGCTATGTCAATGATGGAACAGTTTCTTCTGATTATTTGTGTGGGATTGAACTCATACAAAAAATTTAAATGAATATTTGAAACACAGTTCTTCTACCAAAGTGCCTAAATGGTTAATACTGTTGTTACGAATTTTACGCTCTTCCGAACAACCAGCACCTCCAGTTTTTGACTTATTTACTTATTCACAACCTTATCTATTATCATGTAAATCAGAGTTTAATTTCACCATTTAACACCTTATTAAATTATTTTTAAATGGTTTTCTAAATTGACTGTCTGAGGACATTTGTATACAAGAAAATATGAATTATCACTTATTTGAACAAAGTAAGAAGAACTGTTTGTGCAGAAAGTTATATCCAAGGGAAAATGCTTCTATTTCAATGTGATTCAACTTCAGACTCGACAGATTACAGACAAACTCCTCAGGATTTTCTGGGAAGACGTTGTAGCCTTTAGATGTAAGTCTTTTGTCAATGGATGTAAATCAGTCGGCATTTAACCCTGAAGACAGCTGATTTATTTCATACTATCCAGTTCCACAGTTCCAATAGACAACTGCTTCCATTTTATGCATTCTGTTTTAGTTGATGTATTGAATATCCCATAATCGATTTTTCTATCTCATAAATTATTACTAGTAGCTTATTACCGCCATCGAATACTCTTTCCTTTGATCCTCATCACCATTTATAATGTTAGAGATGTGGCTTATTTACTAGAACACTCAGCTTTCAAGCAGTGGATCACAGACTTGAGGCCCAATCCACCTAATTCGGCCTTGAAAAACAGGTTAGCGTTATCAGCCCTTACATGACAAGCGTGGCTCATATTCTGGTACATGAAAAAATCTGATCTCGGTAACTGACTTCAGTCAAATACTTATTATATGAATATTTTAAAAATAACAATAGTTATCCGTTATAAATTCGTGCTCGTTTTCAATTTCCACTTAATTTACTCTTTCTGGTCTTGTTGAATTCCTTATGTTAGATGAATGATTTCCTATGCCTCCATTTTTCTTCGTAGACCCATTTTAAGCACTAACTACAGGACAGTGAGAAGTTTTGAGCAGTGAGGTACAGCAGATTAGATGTGAGGACAAATACGCACCAATGACACTGGCTAGTGGTTACGCTATATCGTGAATTCGCAGAAGTTAGAATTCGTGGGCCTAATGGTCTACGAACTCGCCTTGTTACCGCAAAGTCTTGGGTACGAACCCTGGGGTATTTTTGTGCCGATGAAGAGTCTCAAAATAGGACGAAACAGCTTCCCAGTACTCCCAGTTTTTCTAATGGTTCTCTAACCGATGTCAGCTAGTGACGAAATCCTGTAGCCAATCACATCCCTGAAAACCGACATTTGGAAATAATATATGCCTTACAGTGTTGTTATACAATAAGTATATAAGTACATACAATAAGTAAATTAAGCGGTCATCATAATGAAAGCCAATAATTCCTGATGT